CAGGCTCACCCTCCAATCCAATTCACCTCTTTAGCTGCCACCCATATACCCTTCAAACTTCAGGGCCCTAAGGCATGCCTTAGTTGATTTATTGGTTAATCTGTCCCTGTCAACTGATAGGTCATTCAAGTTGAACTGTTTGTTTGGAGGATAGCTCCAGTTATCATCTTTGTAAAATAACTTGAAACTGAACAGTTAGAATGAATAATTCTTTAAGATAATAATCAAATCCTTTCATTTGATATAGAGTCTTTCACATCAGGGTAATATCTCAAAGCGGATCACAGGATTTCCCTGTAAAGAGTAGTGACTGTATTTTGTAGACAGAAACAACGTTTAGAAGGAAATTCTATTGGCAAAAAGCCTACATCTACTCTATGTCATCCTATATCCAAGTTGCTCTCTCTAGCTCCTCTTGAGAAAGTAGTGTTTTATTGCTGGTATCAGCAGTTCCATAGTAATTCAACAGTTCCAAAGGAACTAGTACCATTCGATACTTTGCCAAAGTGACTTCTCTTTGTGTCTGATCCTAAACAGTGAGTACAACCGAGCTATTTGACTGTGAAGTGATCACAGTCAAACCCGATCCTGTTTTCTGCTGACATTCACACACATTCACTTTCCAGTGTTGAGGAGGAAGTCATTGGGAATCGGAGCAGGTAGCTTGGCTTATTTTTACTCTGCATAATCCAGTGGACCATGCCAATTCCAGATGTCCCTTTCTCCACTGCTAAGAATTCACCCAAGCCAGGGATCTAAGTCTCTTGATCTGGAATGCTTAATATAACATCAGACTGTTCGTTTACCTACATATCAGAGGGCTCTTATTTGTCCAATTTCTGAAAGGTGTCAGCCTGGCTCAGTGGCAACACTGTACATCAGTCACAAGGTTCAAGCCACAGGTCAATACTTTGAACTCACAGTCTGGGCTGATATTCCAAAACATGGCCATTTACTTCATGGCTGTTTCTGGGACATTGCTGTGCACATATTGGCTGCTGCCTCGCTTACAAAATCACTTCACCACCTTTCACAGTAAATCTTATGAAGTGCTTTGAGACACCCTCCTGACATGAAAGATGTTATATCAAAGGCAAACATTATTAATATAATGGATTTCCTTAACAAGCAATCTGACTCAACAGTGTCTGCTTCCGATAAGCAGAAGTATGTCATGGCAACCTGGGGAAACTCCATGCTGACCTTTAAGCATGCAGGATAAGAATTGTGATTTTTAAATATTAACTTAATGTAAATGCTGCTTAGTTATTGTGTCCATTCTGACTCTTTCCTATTGCAATTAAACAAAATTAGTACACCACACTACATAAACACACACACACAAACACACATAAAACACTCCTTGTATCTGTGTTAGTAATTTAGAAGCAAGCCGGATCTGACGCTTTTACTAAGCATATGGCAGGACTGGAAATAAAGGGGTGTGATCTTTGGGAACTGAGTATCATCTGGAAATAGGCCAGGAACACAAAAACAAGCAAAAGGAACAAGGCCTTCAGGGACTGGCATCGGGCCCATTCATTGTACTGAATGTCACTGTGGCAGGACTGAAACAGTACTTAAGTAATAGGACACTCATCTCATTCCTAATATACCACCCACAGCAGTGAGGAATCTCATTTGTAGTTAGTCAGGCTGACATAACAAAGCACGAAAGAGAAAAGGTTATTAGGCCCATTAATCGTGCTCCTACTCCTTCACAGACTCTGTCCAGCTCATTTAATCCACCAAGGATAAGATCTGTAAAAAATTCTCTCAGATCTCATCAAAAGTAAAGCAACCAACATTCCAGCATTTCTAACCTTATATCCTGCTTTGATCATTCTTCACTACTTTGCCTTGGTTCCATCACCTCAAGAAAAATCATGTAGCTGAGAGTAATTCATCACCTCAATCCATACATCTCTCTATGAACTTCATTCCCATTCTTAACCAAGAGATTTCTCCAGCATTTGTTTCAAAGGTGTTAATTGACACAGTTCAAGGTCAATCTACATCTACATTCATAACAGTCAAAATAAAATATTTTGAATGTTTTAAATCTTATTTTGCTCCACACAAATTCCTCTATTCCTCCTCAGTCACTTAATTGCTTAGAATTCATTCACTGGCCTCTTTTTTAGCCTTTTAATGTTGTCTGCCTTCAAAGAGGTGTAAAATGTGTAAAAAGTGTAACACACACTTTTAAGATGCTGCATAATTATAAATTATGAACATTGCTCAAGTATCACTATTTGAAAAGAGAAGGGAGTTTCTCCCAGAATTCCAACCAACAATCCTCCAGGGAAATTGTTTATTCCCCTCACTTCTGTTCGTGAAACATTGCTGTGTGTAAATACAGTCACTACACTTAACAGTAATTTCTTGTGAAGCTCTTTTGAGACATTTCGACCTGATAAGGTGCCATAAAAATGCAAGGTTCTCTCCTTTCAACTCATCTTGTCACAAGTAGGTTTGCCATCAACAGGACCCATAATGAACAGAGAGCAACAGTGATGTCAGTCACAAGTCAGAACAGTGCTGGCAAACAGGCATCAGAGAGACCCACTGTAAAGTAAGTCCACATCACATGCTCAACTTATATCTTCAAAAAATAAGGGTGCAAATTATACACTGCTGCAAAACGACAGGATTTAACTACAATGAAATACAAACAGAGTGAGACCTATACACCCCAGATCAAAAATGTTTCCAAGTAAACAACACAGCCTTTGTTTGCCCGCTCCGAACATTCAACAACAAGTTACATTTATATATAAATTTTCTTCTTTAATAAATATATCAAAGAGCTTTACAAGAACAACATATATTTATTTAACCCCCTTCACATAGGATAACATCTTGGAACATTTCACAAAGATGGAGTCAGGCATTGAGCAACAAAGAATAAGGAGATAACTGTGGGTCCAGTCGAAAATATAGGTTTTTGACAGCATTTAAAGGCAGATAGAGGGAGGCCAAGATAGAGGGGTAAAGGGAAGACGTTCCTGTGCTTAGGGGTGCAGTTGCTGAAGATCTGGTCACCGATAGCAGGCGCAAATTATTTAATTACAGAGTAAAACTAATTGGAATTGAAGGGAATGTTACTATGTGGGCATAGTTCCACCAGTAACTTCCTATGAGACGTTTGTTGGATGGGCTGTGTTTAAGCCCTGAACAGAATCTTGCCTCAACAGCACTAGTTTGATTTTATTCCCATATTCCCTCATGTTAGTACAGCAACAACATTTTTGGCAAATTAATTTTTAACACTTGTCAACACTGTCAAATTTCCACCCATGCCTGAGTTGTGGAGGGCACTGGAAAGGGGAGTCTTTCAGCCGTGGCTAACAAGGGCAGGCTTCAAGTCCAGAGAGAGATTTGTCAGGAACATGAAGTAACCATCTAAAGGTTTGATCAGCTAGTTCTTTAGATAACTTGTAACCTTGTCTAATATGCAGCGGGAGAAAGATGTCTGAGCGCGATTCCACGGACTGAGTGCTGATAAAAGCTTTTTGCTGTTCCTTGCACTGCACTCAGCGGCAGATTTCGCTTTCGTAAGTTCCAAACTTCTCAATATGTCAGATTGCATTGCTGATCACTCTCTTGGCATGTTGGCCTGAAAAGAATAACAAAACTTCCAATAGCGCTGAACAGCCATAAGAATCAGGCTATGCACTGCACTGTACTCCTGTGAATTATATATGTTCTGTTGCACTCATATATTAGGTTTGCTGGGCTGGGAAGCGATGGACATAGTTGCGCTAATAAAGTGCTCAGATAGGAACATGATGTGTACATAGTGGAAGCTCCAAAAAGCACATCTTGGGACATCTCTTGCAAGGAATCCTATGTGCACCAGGCCAACTCGAGCAAATTCTACTCTGAGTGCCTCTTCAACCCCATTCTCATACATATCAAGTTCAATAATAATGAAAATGTAATAATATAAAAATATAATAATAATAATTATATAAAAATGTACACCATTAAGCATTATTTTTTTAAAAGTTAGCGTATAAGCAGCAAGCAAGATGGATTTCATATAATTTCTAACACCTAGATCAGTCTGACCGAGACTGAACAACCTGTTTGAAGTTTGGCTGGTACAGGTGAGCAGCTTTATAATCAGAAAAATGTCTTGCTGTTAATCTGTTAAATGACGACGTGAAATCACTATGTATATGAAAACACACTGCTCAAAACCCAGTGATATGAGGCCGAGATAGTAAAGCCATTGACCTCACATCTGCATTCAGTTATCCCGTGCAGCAACTTGACTCGAAGCATAACTACCTGTCTCTTTCCAAACAATGAGCCAAACTGAGAGTAGTACTTTATGCACCATTTACACAGGGCTTTGCTTGGCTTATGAAACATGTAGTGAATAAAACAGTGCGTGACCTTAAAGTGAGTTCAGCTTCTGGGGCAATCAGTCCCAGGCATGGATTTGCATTGCATTTGCACAGGATTGTGAATCAATTCAAGCTCTGCTCAGAAAAGGATCAATCCATGTGAAAATATATGTGGCACAACTTTTAAGGTATTTAATTGATCACTTAAATGTCCTTAAAGTGCTGAACATTCTCTTTAAAAATATCATGCAAGTGCCAGACAATGGAACAGCTCCTCAGAGCAGGTGGAAGTGCTAATTGTAACCCAATATTCTCCATGTCTGGAAGCAAACCTGTTTATAACCAGAGCTCAAAGTCAGTTACTGTGATGGAAATATAGTATTTTTTAATTCTATTTTAATAGTTGCAGATAAAACCTCAATTTAACAGTATAATATCACACCAGAGCACAGGCCTACCCCAATGCTATAATAGTACAGCAGAAAGCAGAACATAACCCAATGATATTACACTACACCAGAACACAAAACTCAATGATATCATACTCCAGAACATAGAACATAACCTAATAGTATCATACTCTTGAACTCAGAACCCAATGAGATGACGCTATATCTGAACATCAAATCTCTGAAAAAAACTTACCGACCGTTGTCACGGCCGACACCCCAGACACGAATGCTCACAATTGGTTGAGAGTGAAGAATGGTGCGGTCCATTGGGTCGATTAGATCCAACATATTGTTCTCCAGGATGAGGTACATATCCTTGCCCTGGTGTTTGACAAGAGAATAAGTCAGGTCACCATCCACTCAACATTCTTCAGGCTGTTCAGTCTATGTGGAAACTTTCATATTTCATTAGGGAACAAGTTGTGTTTATATTAAGTTAGTATTTGCAGCACAGAAACGGCACAGAATAATAATTTGAAGAGCACAATACTGTTATTGGAATCATTAAATGGGCTGAACTTCCTCTTGTAGCAGATGACACAAGATTCCCTGCTCTCTTGCTGACAGAAAACTGCAAGAGTTAATTCGCATTGAAAGTGATTTTATTAGAACTCTGCTGGATATGGTCATGTAGAGGGTAAAGCACCACCTGCTGCAACACTAGGCTATACTGACTAAGGTTGCAGGTACATGTTAGGTTAGTGGATAATAATAATAATCCTTGCATTTGATATAGTGCTTTTCAGGTCTTCTAGACGTCTCAAAGCGCTTCACAGAATATATTGTAAAGTGAATTGATTGTATATTTGTGGGCGAAACGCGGCAGCCAATTGCACACAGCAGTGTCCCACAAACAGTCGTGGATTGAAAATGACCAATTTATTATTGTTTTGTTTTGGAGCGATTATTATTAGGCCTGTGGAGTAAGGAAATTTGCCCAAGGTTTCGCCCTGCCTGGAATTGAACCACAGGTGTCTCGCTTGTAAGGCAAGTGCTCTAACCACTGAGCTACAGAACTCCACACTCTCAGCTCCCTATGTTTAAATAATCTTCTGCACTCACTGTCAAGATACTGAGAATAGTGCCACAGGGAGTGGGGGTAGTGGGGTCCCTCACATATTATTCCCAATCATTACATTAAACCATGTGTTATATCTCGATGGCCAAGAGAAATCCTGAACACACCTGGAATCCCTCCATTCCAGCACTGGCACTGATCACTCTGGACATGCTAAGGATTCAGTAAATCAAACCATTAAGAAGGACAGAGGACAAAGTGACTTTTGGACTGTGACGGTCAGGTTAACTCCCTTTTTTTAAAAACGTAATAATCGGACAGGTAGTTGATAATAAAATCACATTAGCAATTCTGCTGTTCACACAACCTGCCCAAGGCATATTAATTCATTAAAGTCTCTATTTAACAACACCCTCTGATGAGACAACATTCCTTAAATGTCAGGATCCATTTCCAAACAAAACCTAAATGTCAACTTCCCATTGGGCTTTCAATTTTAAACAACTATTGAGAGAAGTTTTAAGAGTCATAGGGACATACAGAGTTTGAGGACTGGGAAAGGGCATTGCAACTGGTTTACCTGGATGATCCCAAAGCAAATAATAACTATGGTAACTCATTTATTACCCTGTCCCACAGTCCCCAATCGAATTCCTTCCTAAATAGCCATCTAATTCCCTCCTAAATTTCCTGATAAAATCTGCCCCCATAAATCTGACCCCCACCCCGCCTGGTCTCACTGGCTCCCCATCCGCTTCGCCTTTAAAGTCCTCCACAGACTTGTTCTGCCCTATCTTTATGACTCCTAAAATCCTACCAACCTATCCACTCCCTCTGCTTGGCAGGTACTCACCTGCTCTACATTCCTGTCAGCTCCTTTTAGCCTTTCTGCACCCACCCTCTAGAACTCCGTTCTGGCGTCCCTCCGCCTTGCCCCCTCCTTTGCCTCCATCAAGGCTCTTCTCAAGACCTTTCTCTTCAACCACGCCTTCGGTCACCTTCCCACCACCACCACCCTTGCCCTACACCCTCTTGACTCCAGTCCGCAGCTCAGGTGCAAACCCTTAACTGTACAGCACCTACTGACATCCTACCAACGTGATAGGCACTATATAGATGCAATTTTTTTATGTTATTGTTGCCTCTACCATCCAATTAATATATGCACCACTTTGTGCACAGCACTCAAATCTATATTGTCCTTTCACAGCTTTAATTATAATTTCTATGAATTTTTCAAAGATGTATTTCGTTCGCTTGGGTTTTGCTTCTGTAGTTTCCTACTGGCCTCCAAAGCACCAATTTACATCAATCAAATCATATCCGCTCCAAAATCCTGTTAAGTGAATTCTTTTATCACTCAACTTACAGATGTTAGTTACTGAAGCTTGAATCACAAGTCTGTGAAAATGCTGCTGGGTTTCTCTTTTAGTGATCAAACACAAGGAAGAGCATTCTTACTCTGGAACTGTTATCCATTAGAAATAAATGTATGCAAGAAAGTGGGAAACAGATGGCAAAGAATTCAGTGTGCATTTTTGACAAACAGCTGTGGTGAGCAGCAGACTGCTCACTGTGCAATGTGCTTCACTACAATGAAGGGTTTGACCAAGAAACAATGCTATCCATGGCGGGGGAAAAACACAGTTGAAGAATCACTTTATTTTAGTGGGATTCACCAATAGGGACTCAGTGTTCCTAAAGGTGAATTCTACACACAATACATCACTGCCAATTGCCAGGATCTCTGCTCCGAAGCATTGGAAGTAGATGGTATGTTGTGCAGATCCTGTGAGTCGCTATGATGGACTGCCAATAACCGGCAGGATTTCCTGTTGTGATGTACTTTCGCTGACCCTGAGGACACTCTGGGCCCTGTTAGTGTATCTTGCTGTGAATCCTAATTATTTGCCGTCCGGCATGGAGGGTGCTATATAAATCCAAGTTGTTGTTGTTGTTGTTCTTACCTCTCCCCAAATCCCAACTGTGTCCCTGATATCATTCTTGCAGTAGGACAGTTGCCGGATGCAGTTGTTCACAGCTACACTGCTCTTGCCAGGTGCTAGATCTTCTTCTGCCATTTCCACCCAGCCCAAGGAGCGCACAGCAAAGCACTGAAATTCACAGAACAATCAGGTATTAAAATCCAAACACAGCACAAGGTCTTATTTGGTCACTCAATCCACGACTGTTTGTGGGACACTGCAAGGTCCAATTGTCAATTCACTTTACAATATATTCTGTGAAGCGGTTTCAGATATCTCAACGATGTGATGAGGTGCTTTATCAAATGCAACGATTATTATTATTATTAAAACATTTGAGCAGCATAATTAAAATGTATTTTTGTTCAAAAAGGTATATTTTTAACCTATTCAAGAAATATGTTTTGAAATGATGCAAACGGCAGTACAGTATCTTGATCATGTACAGCACAGTGGGATACAGATTACCAATAGCTTTCTGTTGAGCAATTCCATATTGTACTCAAGACTTAAACCTGTTTTAAAAGGTCATCTAAAGTCAGTGTAAAAGAACCATCAGAGACTGGCTTAACTACATATGTAAATAGCAGTCACTATACCCCTAAGCTCCTGATTAAAACATGGTAAAAATGTATTAATGAACGTCAGTAAAAAAAATCCAACTGACTCAGTTTACTAATGGGATAGAATCACAGTTTCTCAGAACAGTCCTTATGTCTAAACTACATCCTCCTCCTCCCTTGCTGCTCTGATTCCATTATAGATTGAAACGTGAAGACAGAGTTACTGTATTTTCTATCAAGTACAATCTGATCTTGTTATAGGAACGCAGGAACAGGAGTAGGTCGAGCCTGTTCTGTTATTTTCATAAATCATTGCTGATCAGTAACTTAATACCATTTGCCTGTTTTTCTTTAGATAGTCTTACTCACTAACTATTTATCTACTTCCTTCTTAAACATTCCCACTGATTTCTTTGCAGCAGTGAATTTCACAATCCCACAACTATTTGAGTAAATAAATCTCTTCTGACATCACTACTAGCAGGTCTAGATCATTTTTTAAAAAAAGATTATGTTCGCTTGTTCTGGACTCTACAACCGTAACAATGAGTCTCTTATTTATCCAATCCGCCAATTCCCTTTACAATCTTTAACACTTTGATCAGATCATCTCTCAACCTCCTTTGTTCAAGGGAGTTGCAGCCCCAGTTTACCCCATTCTATCCTAACTAAAGACCCTTCAATTCAGGTATCATTCAGGTGAATCTACCTTGCGTGGGCTCCAAGAACAACACGTCACAATATGCTAATCACCATTAGCTTTCACCTTAATGTTTACAATATCAACTTGTTAGCTTCTTCTCAATGGCTATTATTTTCTTGTTCTGGCTCCACTCGCTTTTTCACTGTCCTGTAAAAAAGGCCTCTCTACTCAGTGATACCAGCTTTGACAGAAGTGTCTAACTCGAAACAAATCATTTATCTATTTCTAACTTTGATCGCCCTTTTGTGGCTATCAGCCCCTTACTGTTTTATTTCAGATGTAAGGAAGGGTCTTTAGAATTTACTGAGGGCTGGATTGTGACGTGAAAGGACTATGCTGCCCTCAGGTGGCTATTTGTTGCCATTAATATTTAACATTATTTAACATTTAACATTTAAATATTAATAAGTCCTTCCACAAATACCATTTACTTTCCATCTTAGACATCTTCATCCTCAGACCAAATCTTTGCAAATTATCATCGTCCCTGTTCACAGCAGCAACGTCACTATAACAGAGATTAACTATACAATCATAAACCACTGCACATGGAATAAACTTTCAATTATTTCTGTACATGCTGCCACACTGACAAAAAAGGAGCTTGAAATTGAAATTGTTCTTTGGAATCATTTTCATTGTAAATGGTCCAGGCGCCATAAGGGGGTTGGTCAAGAATAACCTTGTGATCAATTTGTCAATCAAATGTTATTTAAATGAAAGAAAGATCCATGGGTGTCTTAATAGTGAATGTAAGTGGGATTCAAAGGATTGCTCTTAAAAGGACCAGCACAGACACAATGAGCTGAATGGCCTGTCAATTTCTGGCTGTCGTAGGATTCTGTTAATAAATGAACAAGAAAGTTTAAGTGGATATTCAGGTCACATTATAAAAAGGAAACGTACCTTGCAGAAAAAATAAAAGCCAAGTAAATACAGTATATAGTTATAAGTATGTATGAAAAAAGTGCCCTTTGGTATTTCTAAACACACAAAGATGCTGAGTGTTAGTTATCGAATTGTTATTACAGATTCAAAATTCAACATATATTCCAATGGGAATTACCAAACAAGGACTTGCCACAACAAAACCTTCTGATTTGTGATGATCTTGTGAAAAGGATCACCTTGACACTGTTGTTTCATGATACAAAGTCAATTTTAAGCATCTGAACTCCAGTCTGACTCAACTCTCCCAAAGCAAAGGCTTGAACCAGCACAATTGGTCACTTACTCAGCATTTTGCTGACCTCGGCAATGCTGAAAGCATCTTGTATCTGATAACATAATCACAAGAAGTTTAGCACTCATGGTATTTGAGGCAGTTAAAGTGACCCCAGCTCTTCACAAGGGCATTGAAGCTGGAAAACAGCTCTAGAACGATTTCCCCAAATAAGTACTTTGTGAGCCTTTAATTTCAATTTTATCCAAAACTTGGCCGTTCAAATTCTTTCGCTCACTATACTCCATATATCCTTTACCCTCAACCAAGCACTTCAATTGATCTACTTTAAGATTATTTCCCTCCCTATCAATGCAATTGCCTCCAGCTCTCTATGTCTGACTATACTTCCACATTGTAATACTGGTCTATTATTCACTCCCATTCCTTCCACCCCACCACCATTCATTCAGCTGTTCATGCTCCTTATCCTCTGAAACTCTCTTCCTGAACCAACAAGAGTGTTAAACTGTAAATCTGAGCCCAGGCTGTGAAAGTTAAACAAAGCCAACATCTTAACAAAAGCAGATTGCAAAATCCATACCAACAGCCAACCATTTTGTATGGTTTCTAAGACTTATGATGCCTTCAAAATTTAATCAGCAGCTCTCACCTCCTTCCTACATGAACTGTTTGTGAATTTGACATTAAAGAGTTATTACCCCAAATGTACATATTGTTATTACTAATATCCACCCTACTGTCCTCCCATCCTAGTTTAACATCAAGCAGAGTTCAGCATGCTGGTCTCAGCCAGGATTCCTGATAACCTGTTTTAGTCATTAATTACCCTTTGGGTAAAGAAATATTTCCTGGTGTCTGGCTGAAATTTGTACCCCTAAAGCTTGTTCTGATGTCTTGGCTCATCCGAAAGTAAAGATGTGGGCTTACTTTCTCGATCTCATTTAAAACCACAATCTTAAAAGTCTCAAGTGTCCAGCTTGTTTAGCTTACTCAATATTTTAATAACGAAACATACTCACTGAAGGAAGAAAACTGATTCTTTCTCCAGTGGATTTCCTTAGCGAGTTTAAATAGAGGTCATTTCCTCTAGGTGCTGCATTATTTATCTACTGTCAAATGTTGTCAGAAAATGAATATTCAGCAAGGTTTTGGAATCCACTCTGTAAATTGCTCCTGCAAGAATATGCATTGCTGTACGCATTGGGGCATTAATTACCAGGCATTAGGAGACATTTCATACATTGTGTAAAATCTACATATTGAAACTGGAAGTCTGGAAGTAGAGTTATGCTTTGTCTTTCAAACTAAATTTAATGGAGGTTTTACAAGTAAGGATTCATAGATAATGACATTACAGCTAATCCCTGCATACCTGCTGCAACAATTATTTTTCCAATAAAAGTATTCCAACATCCAGAGGGCAATAAATCATTGGACAAACAACAGCAGAGACCAACCAGAATGATAGATTACAGGAATTTCTTAAAGGGGAAATTCCTAACAGGTAGATCTAATCCTATGCTGTATGGAGGATGTGAGAATGAAGAAAACCTCAGTGCAATAAAAATGGTAATCCAAATAATTCAGGGATTAACATGTGAGAACATTAGATCAGGGATTCCCAAACTAGGGTCTGTGTACTGCATGGGGGCCACAAGATGGTTTTAGGAGGGGCCGTGGAGCCGGGAGACACACTGTAATTGCAAAGGCTATGGAAGTCTAGTTGGAGTATGGAAAACCGTGCAACCCAAGGAAAGAATGAGAAAGGCACGTTCCTATTGTTCCAGTGCAAGGTATTTCAGGGCCGCCTTTTGTGGAGGCTGGAAGGAAGGGAGGGAGGGAGGGAGGGAGGGAGGAAGGGAGGGAGGAAGGGAGGACTCATCCACAGGATGTCGGCACAGCCCGATGGATGGTCCTCAGTCAGGATACCTAATGACCTGGGGGCCTGGAGCCCAGAATATTTGGGGACCCCTGCATTAGATGAAGCAAAGCCAGGAAAGGAGCTGGTCTATGAAACATTGAACACAAGAGCCTCGCGAATAAGGGTGCAATTTATTTTGGTAACAGGATTTAAGGTCCTCCAATGTTCTCTTGATCTCAGATGTTGTACAGTATTATTTACATTCATACAGTCTTTCACGTCAGGAAGACATTTCAAAGAGCTTTAACAGAGCTGCATTTTATGGTGGGGGTCAGGGAAACAACCTCACCCACACCTATATCACTTGTGAAACGTTTCGTTAAAAATTGGAAGTGCGTTATAATAAATAAAACGCCGTGACCTTGGAACTTTTGATAAAAATAACTACTTAAATTTTTAAAAATCTCTTGCAACATTTTCTTTTTAAGTAAAATGCACTCACGTCCAAGTGCTGCATTATTTATCTGCAATCCTTTTTACTTCCACAGCAATGAACGCGTTTTAATGCTCTGACTGGCACTTGGCCAAAGCTCTGCTGCAGATGTCCCAAACTCGTGTCAAGTTAAGTCAATGCGGTGCTTGGCAGCAACCAAACACCCAACAGTGAGCTGGCAGTGACACGGACACTTAGTCCCATGGCGATCAGAAAAATTGGACTCGTCTTTCTTGCACCACTCTCCACATGCACAAAATAAAAATTCCAAAGAATTGGCAGGGAAATTGCTTTTGCTCCTCTATTAGAGGAGAGCACTGCTA